TAAACCGTCAGTGGCAAAACAAGACAAAGCAAGAGGGGCATCTCAAACAAGGGTGCTACAAAAGTTTAGGGTCCTCTAGCACAAGAGACCTATGTTACAAAGGCCCGTAGCCTTTTTAACACGAGAGTGCTGCGAAAGTTTAAAGTCTTCCAGCACAAGAGACTTTCAAGACAAGATATGCTGCGAAAGTTTAGAGTCCTCCAGCACAAGGGACTTTCAAGACAAGATGTGCTGCGAAAGTTTAGAGTCCTCCAGCACAAGGGACTTCCCGAGAAGGTCATTAAAACAAAATCATGCTTGGTATACAAAACAGGGACAATCATTCATGCTTAACAAATACTTTTCAAAACAAGCAAAGCGAAACTTTAACAAAACGTTATAACATAGTTTATTAGAAATACCACTCACATAGTTCTTCAAACGTTGGGGTCAAAGCAAGTCCAAGTCCTACAAACACATGGCAAAGTCCATTGAATGCACTACTCAAAACAAGTCTAGCATACATGCAAATGACCTCAGCATTCTTCAAAACTAAGCCAAATCAAATCAAAACATAGTTTCTTATTTTTGGAAAACACGCTGGGCAACTACCAGGTCTAGGCCGAGGTCCCACACCTCCTTGCCGAGGTGTGGCCTCGATGGCCACATTCAAAAGCGAAGTCGGGAAAAACTGGGTTTCTCTCTTGACAACATGAAGAACATGAGCATGAAGAACATGAACACGAGGAAAATGAATGCAAAGATCAAAACTTGCTATAGCGAAAGCTAAGATTTCATGCCATGAATTCAAAAACGTGGACCTGGGTACCCATACACAAGGATCTTATCAAAACAACACAAAAACATGAGCCTTAGTGCAAACTTTCGGATCAAACGAGGCTTTTCTTCAAGAACACATGAAAACCATTTTCTCTTTCTAAACCCAACTTTAAATCAATGCATGACGTGCCGAACAGGTTTGATCGTGCAATGCAGCTAGATGATCAATAAGAACAACAAGAGTAGGTTAAGATTCTAACCTCAAAACTCGAATCTAATGGTTCAAGCTCTAACGATCAAGCTTGGAAGTTCACTCTCTTGCTCAAACTTCTCCTTCTTCTTCCTAGAGTTTCTCTCTCTAAAAGGCAAGATTTAATACAAAATGATATGTTTCTCACGACAATCGTTGACTTAAACCCTCTGTCGGGACACGTGGCATCGGCTGATTGGCTTTACTCAAAAAGGTGACTGACTGATTAGACAAGACCAAGACCAAGACAAAGTGTATTCAACAAGCTAAACAGCAAGAGTACTCCGGCAAGTGATGATCTCGGCTAAGGGCAAAGCTTCGGCAAGCAGGGTAACAATGACATCGGCTTGGAAGGACAACACTTGACTAAGCTGTGCCACACCTTGGCCTAGATGTGCCACACCTCGGTCTAGGTCATACCATTCCAGGAACAAAATCACTAATGCAAGGATCAAGGATCTAGGATGCCTAGATATTAACATCTCGGCCCAGATGATGCACATCTCGGCCTAGGCGACGCGCACCTCGGCCTAGATGGTGACATCTCGGCCAATATGCCAGGGTGAAGATGGAGGTCAACCAAAGGGGTTCCAAGATAGTTCTAAGTGATAAAGGTCTCGAAGGCGTCTAGGCTTAAGATGACCTCGGCAACACACCAGACAAGAACAAAGCATGCAAGCAATCATTCAGGCAAAACAAGACAAGATTTGCAAATGCACATATTAAAACAAGATCATCCATAAGTGTATGCGAGTATGACTAAGTTAAAATGAGGGTTGTTACATGCGGAGTCATTATGGGATAAAGTGTCTTATGGCATCATTTTGCGCATCTTTATCCCCTCCTTTCAAAGGGGTTCCGGTTTTTTTAATTTTTAGAGACTAGAAAAAATGGTTTGCGATGTATGGATGTCCTTGTAGTTGTTTGCATTCATATAGGAGGACACCTTCCTTATTTATCAATAACATTACCTTTGTCGCTGATCAAAAAAACAAAAAAAAAAAAATTTTTTGCAAATGGGATGGCCCTCCATTTCTGAAAAAAATATGGACATACATGTGCGTGATAAATAAGTGATGGCCTATTCTAGAGCGGTCTTCTTCAAATAATATCAATTCCTTGTTTCGGGAGCCATTCGTTATTACCGTTTTATTTTTTTCCCCCATAATTTTTTCAGAACAAATATCCTAGATCATTATTTATTTATTTATTTATTTATTTTGATAAGTACCAATATCTTAAATCATAAATGTAAATTATTGTTGTATAAGCAAGTATGAAGTACCCTTTCTTTCTCTTTTCAAACATACTTTAGATTCTAAAGTAGTTAGTTTTATGTTCAATGGGTAAAAAATGTTGCTGTGTTTGGTTGTGATTTCAAAACGTAATTCTACACCATAGTTTGAGTATGATGTTTGTTTAGTGTTTTGGAATCACGTTTCAAACGCTCTGCAGAGAGTTCTATCTCAGCCGCGCATTTTAGCGTTTGTTTTTTTGAAAATTTTGAAAGACGAGACGTCCGGCCGGTTGACCGGAATAGTGATTTTTTTTTTTTTTTTGATATGTTATTTTTTATATAATCGAAAAAAACATTTTTTGAAATTTTTAAAATTTTTTATGTGCTTTAAAATAATTTTGAGTTGTATGTTTAGTTATGAGTTGTAAATTTTTGTATCAAATATCAAATGTCACATCAACAATTCCCCACTCAAATCAAAACTCTTTCAAAACTCTTTACCAAACAAATTTTCTACACTCAAATCATAATTCCACAACACACAAACTCAAAATACAATTTATACTCTCAAATCACATTTACAAAACTCTACCAAACGCTACCTACGTTTCAACTTATGATTCATTTTCTCGTTCTAATTATGTCATGGATTTGATTTTTAGGAGGAAGGACGGAGTCCAACTACAGCTGGAATGGTGAGCATATACTTTCTCTTTTTTTCTCATTAATATATGAAAGGGTTTAATTGCACATATTCTGGATAATTTATTGTTGTATGATGCTTTATTATTTAAGAAATGCTAGAGAGCCCAAATTTTATACCCACAAATTCACTCACAATGGTGTGGCAAGAGAGTTGGGCCTATGTACTCGAATGTGTGACAAATCAAAAGTTCACACCTATTATGCCACGTCATTGTGAGTCAAATTTGGGAAGCATTTTTTGGGATCTCAAATATTTTCCTTATTATTTATTAACTTTTATGCCATCTATATCACACTAAAAATATTTGGCATTGCTTGTTGCAACTTCATATTTCTCGATGTCAACTAGTTAACCTTTGACCACCTTCTCTTTTACGTAATGTTTCCTTCTTTTGTGACAAATGGGATCACAGAAGAAGGCCATATAGTAAGCCAATGGGTATGGGTGAAATTTTGGTAGCTAGATAAGATCAAGGTCACATTTTCAAACTAAGACTAGAATGCACCCCAGGAAAGCCACTACTGCAAGAAAGGAAATTGATTGGTTTAATTATCCAAGCAAACCATATAGTCATGGACAATATATAAATTTGAATTAAAATAGGGAAACCATGTGTTTGTGGTTGGGGGATCATTGAAAATCATTTGAAGCCTCTTGAATAATGAAAACTTGATAGTCATGGGTGCTTTCAGGGTATAGGAAGATATTATGGAGGAGCATCCTGCACATCCATTGGCAATACCAAATGAAATAGCTATCGAATAATTAACATTGTTTTTTGATCGTGAAAGTGTTTGGTTTTTTACACTCCATTTATAGACACCGGGAGGTAAGATCCTGTGTGAGATCCTAGATGTAGATCGGGAGGTAAGATCCTACAAGTGAGTGTAAGTTTTTGAATATATCTGTGTATTCAACTTGTGTCTAATACAAAGATTACAAATGATATATATAGCAATCCTAAACGTAATCTAAAATAGGCGATAAAAATAACCCTAAAAAATCAATCCATCTAAAATATATAATCAACCTAATTGATACATTTCCATAATTAACATAATATTCTCACACCTCCGCTCAAACTCAAGGTGTTTTAGCAAAAAACACTAAGAGTTTGGCTAGAAGAAACTAAAAGCGAGCAGTGGTGTGAGTCTTCGTAAAGAAATCAGCAAGTTGCAATGATGGTCGTGAAAGAATTTTGACTATTGGCATTTATTTATCAAGTAAGGAGGCCTAATCACTATCTTTGTCCCCAATGGTGCATTTTGTGTAGGGGAAATGGGGAATCTTTGAATTATCTTTTCTTACATTGCCCAGTAGCTTTGCATCTTTTGCAACATTTGTTCTCCTTGGTCGGCGTACATTGGGTGGCCCTGTGGAAGTGTACTCAAATATTAATTATTGAATTCCAAGGTTTTGGTTTTAAGAAGAAAGTAAAAGTGCTGTGAAGATGTGTTGTTTTTTCAATATTTTGGGGTTTATGGTTGGAAAGAATTGCAAGATCTTTGAGGACAAGTTTGGGGATGCGGAGTCATTATGGGATAAAGTGTCTTATGGCATTGTTTTGCGCATCTTTATCCCCTCCTTTCAAAGGGGTTCTGCTTTTTTTAATTTTTAGAGACTGGAAAAAATGGTTTGCAATGTATGGATGTCCTTGTAGTTGTCTGCATTCATTTAGGAGGACACCTTCCTTATTTATCAATAACATTACCTTTGTTGCTGATCAAAAAAACAAAAAAAAAAAAAAAAAAAAAGTTTTTGCAAATGGGATGGCCCTCCATTTCTGAAAAAAATATGGACATACATGTGCGTGATAAATAAGTGATGGCCTATACTGGAGCGTTTTTCTTCATATAATATCAATTTCTTGTTTCGGGAGCCATTCATTATTACCGTTTTATTTTTTTCCCCCATAATTTTTCCAAAACAAATATCCTAGATCATTATTTATTTATTTATTTATTTTGATAAGTACCAATATCTTAAATCATAAATGTAAATTATTGTTGTATAAGGAAGTATGAAGTACGCTTTCTTTCCCTTTTCAAACATACTTTAGATTCTAAAGTAGTTAGTTTTATGTTCAATGGGTAAAAAATTTAAGTTTCAACTTATGATTCATTTTCTCGTTCTAATTACGTCATGGATTTGATTTTTAGGAGGAAGGACCGAGTCCAACTACAGCTGGAATGGTGAGCATATACTTTCTCTTTTTTTCTCATTAATATATGAAAGGGTTTAATTGCACATATTCTGGATAATTTATTGTTGTATGATGTTTTATTATTTAAGAAATGCTAGAGAGCCCAAATTTTATACCCACAAATTCACTCACAATGGTATGGCAAGAGAGTTGGGCCTATGTACTCGAATGTGTGACAAATCAAAAGTTCACACCTATTATGCCATGTCATTGTGAGTTAAATTTGGGAAGCATTTTTTGGGATCTCAAATATTTTCCTTATTATTTATTAACTTTTATGCCATCTATATCACACTAAAAATATTTGGCATTGCTTGTTGCAACTTCATATTTCTCGATGTCAACTAGTTAACCATTGACCTCCTTCTCTTTTACTTATTGTTTCCTTCTTTTGTGACAAATGGGATCACAGAAGAAGGCCATATAGTAAGCCAATGGGTATGGGTGAAATTTTGGTAGCTAGATAAGATCAAGGTCACATTTTCAAACTAAGACTAGAATGCACCCCAGGAAAGCCACTACTGCAAGAAAGGAAATTGATTGGTTTAATTATCCAAGCAAACCATATAGTCATGGACAATATATAAATTTGAATTAAAATAGGGAAACCATGTGTTTGTGGTTTGGGGATCATTGAAAATCATTTGAAGCCTCTTGAATAATGAAAACTTGATAGTCATAGGTGCTTTCAGGGTGTAGGAAGATATTATGGAGGAGCATCCTGCACATCCATTGGCAATACCAAATGAAATAGCTATCGAATAACTAATCTTGTGTTTTGATCGTGAAAGTGTTTGGTTTTTTACACTCCATTTATGAACACCGGGAGGTAAGATCCTGGGTGAGATCCTAGATGTAGATCGGGAGGTAAGATCCTACAAGTGAGTGTAAGTTTTTGAATATATCTGTATATTCAACTTGTGTCTAATACAAAGATTACAAATGATATATATAGCAATCCTAAACGTAATCTAAAATAGGCGATAAAAATAACCCTATACAATCAATCAATCTAAAATATATAATCAACCTAATTGATACATTTCCATAATTAACATAATATTCTCACACCTCCGCTCAAACTCAAGGTGTTTTAGCAAAAAACACTAAGAGTTTGGCTAGAAGAAACTAAAAGCGAGCAGTGGTGTGAGTCTTCGTAAAGAAATCAGCAAGTTGCAATGCCGAAGAGACAAGAAGAAGCGAGATAGAGCCAGACTGCAGATGCTGATGTACAAAATGACAATCAATCTCAATGCGCTTCATCCGCTCATGAAAGACAGTGTTATGTGTAATTTGAATAGCACTGCGGTTGTCACAGTAAAGGGAGGTCGGAGAAGATTAAGGGACACCCAAAACAGTCAAGGGACAACGAAGCCAAACAATCTCAACAGTGGCATGAGCCATAGCACAATACTTAGCCTCGGTAGTGGAACGCACAACAACAGTATGTTTCTTGCTCTTCCAAGAAATCAAGGAATCACCAAGAAACATGCAGAAGTCAAAAGTGGACTTGCGATCAGTGACATCACCAGCCTAATCAGAATCAACATAAGCCACCAAGTCCAAAGAGGAAGTAGAAGACAACAGTAAACCCTGAAATATAGTACTCCGAAGATAGCGAAGAATTCGAACCAAAGCAGCCCAATGTGTAAAACGAGGAGCAGAAACAAACTGACTTACCACGTGAACAGCATAGGCAAGATCGGGGCAAGTAACTGTTAGATAGACTAAGCAACCCACGAGCTCTCGATATAAAGTAGGATCATCTAGAAGAACACCATTAGTAGTGGTAAGCTTCACATTAAGCTCAATAGGGATATCAGAAATCTTAGTGTCAGTAAAACCGACACGATGAATAACCTCATTGGCATACTTGGCCTAAGATAGAAAGTAGCCCTTGCGAGAAGAAGTTACTTCAATACCAAGAAAATACCACAAGGGGTCCAGATCTTTCATTTCAAAGGTACGAAAAAGATACTGCTGGACTTCAGAAATAGCAGAAGAGTCAGAGCTAGTGATGATCATATCATCCACATACAGTAATAAGGCAATAAATCCAGCAAAGGTGTGGAAAAGAAATAAAGTAGAGTCCTGAGCACAAGGATGAAACCCAAGTGCAGTAACAGCAGTCTGAAAATGATCATACCATGCACGAGGAGACTGCTTCAGACCATACAAAGCATGCCGAAGGCGACAAACCTGTCCAGTGGAATGGTAAAGGCCAGGGGAGGACACATGTAAACCTCTATGAGATGGCTATTAAGAAAAGCATTTTTAACATCCATTTGATAACGAACAGCAGCTACAGAGATTAAAGTAGGGACAGTAGTCATCTTGGCAACAGGAGCAAATGTCTCATCATAATCAATACCATACTCCTGTGAGAAACCTTTGGCAACCAGACGAGCTTTGTAGCGCTCAAGAGAACCATCAGAATGAGTCTTGACTTTGTAGATCCATTTGCAACCAACCAAATTCTTACTAGCAAGCAAATGAACTAACTCCCAAGTACTAGTTTTCTGTAAAGCAGACAACTCATCCTCCATAGCTTGAATCCAATGAAGATCCTGATAGGCCTCCTTGTAAGATTGAGGTTCTAAAAAAGAATGAATAGCAGACAAAAAAGTACGATAGGAAGCAGAAAAACATGCATTAGACCAACCCAACCTGTTTGGAGGATGTCGCGCTCGAGTAGGATATCGATGTGCAGCAGGATCTGGCGCGTTAGAAGCAGGAGGATCAGCAGTAGGAGCAGAGACAACTGGTGGAGAAAGAGCCTAGCGACGAGAATAAACTAACAACGGAGGAGGAGGAGAAGGAGAGGGAGAAGGAGTGGAAAATGGAGAAAGGTCATACAGAACAGTAGAGATGTACTCATCAGGAGGGACCTCAGAAGGAAATAGATCAATGTGAACCAAATCCTCTTTGAAAACTAGAACAATGATAGGAGGAAGCTGAAAGTAAGGTAGACGTTCGAGAAAAGAAACATGACGAGAGACGTAAAGACGATGGAAAATAGGGTCATAACACCGATAGTCTTTTTGAGTAAGACTATAACCCAAAAAGACACATAGGACAGACCGGTTTGGTCTGATCTTTACGGGAAAGAAGGACAAAACAAGCAGACCTAAACACACGAAGAAGGGTGTAATTGGGAGGTTGAGAGAACAGAGCCTCATAAGGAGACCGACTAGAAAGAAGATGAGTAGGCATGCAGTTAAGAAGAAAAGCAGTAGTAAGAACTGTCTCTCCCTAAAACGAAGCTAGAAATGTGACAGTGAGAAGAAGAAACCTAGCTCTCTCAAGGAGATGATGGTGCTTACGCTTGGCTCAACCATTTTGGACTGGTGTATCAGTACAAGAAGTTTAGTGAATGGTACCTAAATTGGCCAAATACTCACAAGTTTTAAAATATTCCCCACCCAGGTTAGATCGTAACAATTTAATGGTAGCCCCAAACTGTGTAGCGATCATAGATTGAAATGTACGATATATTTGGTAAAAGTCAGATTTATGAGTCATAAGATAAACCTAAGTATGACGGATGCAATCATCAACAAAAGACACATAGTATGCGGAACCCCCTTTAGTGAGAACAGGAAAGAGTTCCCAGACATCAGTATGCACAAGAGAAAATGGAGAAACAGAAATTGAAGTACTTTTATTAAAAGGTAAAGCTGACATTTTGGCAAGTTTACACTCCCGACATTTATCTATTTGACTAGGAAAAATTTTACCCGATAATCCTGACTGAGCTAAAGACCGTAAGCGGTCAACAGACAAACGACCTAGGCGAGATTGCCATAAGTAAAACTGACTCGACTGAGAATCTAACTGAAATGAGGAAAAAACAACCAAAGAGGTGGATAGAGGGAAATGCAAGCTTTCTACCACATAGAGATCTCCAACTCTACAGCCGGTCCTAATCTACTTTTTGGACACCCAATCCTGTACACAATAGATAGATGAGGAAAAGATAACATCAAAGGCAGAAGTATCAAGTTGACTGATAGATAATAAACTGGAAGATAACTAAAGAATATAAAGAACAGAGGAAATAGTAACAATAGACATGGCAGAGGGTAAGACAAACCCAACAGATAGAACAGGCATATCAGACCCATTCGCAGTATTAACAGTAATAGGAGAGGGGGGGATACAGTTTTGAAGTAAGGAAAGGTGAGGAGTCATATGATGAGAGGCACCAGAGTCAAAAAGCCAGACAGAAGAAGAGATACTTGAAGAGGACCCAAACAAACCTAAATGAAGAGAGGTGAAAGCAGAGGCAGATGAGGATGGCTGAGAGGTGGACATGAAATGCTAAAGCTGAGCAATTTGGGCACGCAAGGAAGGCAAGTCAGGATCTGAAGCTGGAGTAGATGCAATATAAGCAACAAGAGGTAGAAACTGTGTCTGAGGCAGCTGAGAAGACTGACCAGACTAATGTCCCTTCTTGGGACAGTTGTACTTCCAATGAACCTTCTGATGCCAACAAGCACACTCATCAGAGGATAGTGGCCCCTTCTTGGGCTTCACATTGCCCTGAAGTTGATGAGGTGAGGTCGACAACAGAGGAGGCTAAGTAGGAGCCAATAAGACAGATGAAGATAGAGTTTGACTAGCCGTCTTAAGACGGGTTTCCTCGAGAAAACCTCCTTAGCAGTAGTATATTTGGAGAACATCATCCCAATGTGATCATCCACAACATTATGAAACCAAGTCAGAACTTCGGCATTATCATAATCCCAAGTGTCGTAGGCAACCTAATATCCATCCATTTTGGGATTTGATGGACGAGAGACAGAACCAGAAACATATCCCTATTTTTTTCAACCAAGCAAAAAAAATTTCATAACAATGGACTAATAAACATAATTGGCTCCAGTAAGTCTGCAAGTTATAGATTGACTTTTGTCGTCTGACATGGTGACAATATTATGAAAAATTATAAAGGACCTAAATGAAGTATAGTAAAACCAGTTAGGTCAAACTTATAATATCCATAGCCTAGTTAGGTCCAAATACTAATAAGCAGAGTTTCCAGAAGCATCAGTTTGACCCAAACACAAATATCAATCAGAGAGATCCAGAGAGAAACTGAAGCCGAGACCAGAGAGAGAGAGATCGCGAACCAGGTGCGAACCAGAAAGAGAACTCGCGAGGCTGAGATGAGAGAGGAAGGTTGAGAACCAGGTGCGAACCAGAGAGAGAACAGGCTTGTGCAAGGTAGAAAGCAGAGGGTCGCGACTTGACCAGAGATGTCACGTCTTCAGACCAGTGATCAGAAATATGTCGTGACTTCAAAGAATCATATAGAAGACCTTTGTGACACAGGGAGGGCTTCGACCAATGAGTTTGAATGAAACCCTAGCTCTGATACGATGTAAGTTTCTGAATATTTCTGTATATTCAACTTGTGTCTAATACAAAGATTATAACCGATATATATAGCAATCCTAAACTTAATCTAAAATAGACATTAAGAATAACCCTATATAATCAATCAATCTAAAATATACAATCAACCTAATTGATACATTTTCATAATTAACATAATATTCTCATAGTGAGATCCTGATCCTTGGCACACTCATGTGGTGATGTGTCACTACCATTTAATAGAGATAGACCCATGTACCTGCACAACACAAACCTAGACTTGTTTAGTTTCATGGAATTGACAACAACCTAAATCCTATCTCACTCTGCCTCCTATAATCGGATTGTCTCTAACAAAAGTTGAAATAAAATTAAATTAGGAAAAAGTTGTAGGGCTATTTATGGACGTTTTTATTCTACTGGTAAGAGTCTTTTGTGTGTCAATAATTACCTTTCACTCTCTTAATTAAAATGCTTATAAAATTGACTCAATCTTTTGCTAAAAGATTTGATCCGAGTACAAAGATCCTATTGCACCTGTTTTGGGTAAGTCATACTTATATAGATATAAAACAATACCCAATTAATACACATTAATGTATGTTTAGGAGGAGAAAGATTAAGTATACACCTAACCTTTGACATATCATACTTACATAGATATACAAAATTTAAATTTACATCAAATTCTATTAAGTGTCTTTATTCCATGGTTGTCAAAATCTAGATCCTGATCTTACAATCCATTCGGGCACAATTGATCCGGATCGTGTAAAAAATCCCTTACATATAGGATCTTTCGATCCTGGTAATAGGATCTTGTAACATCATGGAATCCTGATCCGAATCCGATCCAATTTGTAAGTCTTGTTTTGTATTGTATGGCCTATTTTATTATAAATTTTATGTTTGTTGTCTAAATACCAATTCATGTGGTCCAAATGAAAACAAACATTTAAATATTATAGTAATTTAAGAAAACTAACTAGTTGGAAAAACAAACTCAGCCTTACCGGAGTCTGAGGAGGGCAAAATGTATGAAACTTTACCCCAATTTTTGGAGAGGATATTTTCGTGACTGGAATCCGCTCCACCAAGGATGCTAAAAACAAACCTTATCATTCGGCCAAGCCACTCTTTTAAGTTGTCAATCTATTCTCATGTCCAACTTTGTTGAATATTTTTCTTTCACTTTTTATGCATTATTGTAGATTGCAAAATGTTTTGTTATAAAACTTTTCTTCTTCACCTTTTTTGATAAAATGCAAAACTTTTAACTTCGACTTCGAGTTTTCCATTGTATATTATTATATATATATTTTACATGGAGTATTATATTTAATACAATATCTTCACTTGTTTTTTGGTATAATTTAGGCTTATTCTATGGATATTTTTTAGAAAATGTTTATTTAAATTCAATTATTATGTAATTACTCTTTTTCGGTAGGATCTTACGATCTTTTATCTGATTCTATGATCTGATCCTGTAAACTCTTCCAACAATCCAATGTAGAATCCCGATTTTAACAACCTTTCTCTATTCTTGTTTTGCATTGACAATTAATTCTATGGATTCTTATGATTCTTATGATTCTGTGATTGTTGGAGTTGGTTTATGATAATAATAAAATAATGAAATAGTGGGTCTTCATTAATTTGTCAAATGCCATTTTTGACTCTGAAAATTCTAATCGTAGAGTATTTTTACAAGAAGTTCCCAACCATAACAGTTGGGCAGTGTCATTCCAGAAAATAAAACCCAGCTTGATGGATCATTATTCTAAATGAGAAGACCCGTATCTGCTGCCTAATTCTGGATAAAATCTCTATATAGGTTTATATATGTTTATATATAAATTACTGTTTTGACTTTGAAAGAACCAATTTTAATAGACAAATGACAATCCATTTTGTAAATGGTCAGTCTTGGCGAAGAGCACGTGGGCTATCAACGGCTGGATTATCCTATCTTAAAGCTAAGTATTGTTGGTGGACGGCCATTTTCTTGTGGTGGTGAGCAGTTGTGTAGGACAAGGCTGCTGGCTGCAAGGTTAGTTTTTTAGTCAAGCATATTACTTAGAGTCAGTTTTATTCTTCGTTCTTGATCTACTGTGACTACTCTGTAATGGTGCTAGTGCCTTTTTGACTCTTTATACCTGTTATCCTGTCTTGTCAGGTTTAGTGCTTGTTTGTTTTCATCCTTGAGAGCATCTTATTTCTGTTACTTCTTTTTCCTTTCTTAACTTCCATTAGGTTCCTTTAGTGTAACCAGATTGATGCATTAAAATAGACTTATCTGCGGTTGACTTTAATGTTGTTCCCTCAGATTTCAGTTGAACTTGAAAAAGCTGTTGCATTCACTTGTTGGATTCTTCTAATCTCTTCATAGGATATCCACTAGATTAAAAGCCAAGCAGCTTGCTTTTATCATGTGGATTAGGTTTTTGTGGCTAAATGCTGGTTCTTGTTCTAGGGTTGTTAAAGAAAACTGGTGGAACTAATAAAACAATTCGAATTGGTCCAAAGCATATGGTTTGGTCCGGTTTTTGAGAGGACAGTTAGGTTCCAAGTGATTAAAAACTGTTGGTTTGGAAAATGTTATAAAATTTTAATGTATCTATACACATTTTGTAAAAGTTGTTTGGAAAATATTATAAATTTTTTTAGTATGGTTGTAAATATTTTGGAATGCTTTTATAGGTAGATATCAGTTTCTTCATTGAACTGAATAGTTTGAACTTTGAATATTGCGATGAATTTTCTAGCCTATAATCATAGATTGAACCAGAATCAAGCCGCTTTATTCTGTTTGGTTCCAAAAGTTCACAGTTCAGTTTGGTTCCTAAATTTCTAGAACCGTTAATACTAGTTTGATACTTAGTTCACCTTAAAATTTTGAACCAAACCAGTCTGTGAATACCCCCCTATCTTCGTCTTTGACCTTTGTTATCATGGCGTGGATTGCAACTCATCAAATTGGAATTATCTTCTTAGATTTGGCGTCCATGACATGGAAGGAAGTGCAAAGAGAATCTATGAAGCTGCTTTAGGCACACCCGATGGTCATTTGATTATATTTCTTGCTCATAATGGTCCCACAGGTGTATCACTCTACTAAAATCTACCAGTTTCTCTAGGACAAACTGATCTCTTTATATTGATAATTCTGTAGTAATATCTTATCAGGTCTAGGTTCTAATGTGAACGACATCTGTGGGAGAGATTGGGTGTTTGGAGGTGGTGACCACGGTGATCCAGGTATGGATTTCTTTGTTTCATTAGGTTACCCATCAGCCAGCCCTATTAAAGGGAGGCCGGTTGACAGTTTTACTGAAAAAGCTCTGTTGTCTAAATTGTTTCATTTATCAACTTTTTTACCAGCCAGATGTGATCTTTTTTTTTTCTTTTTCTTTTTCTTTTTCTTTTTTTTTTTTTTTTTTTTTTTTTTTTTTTTTTTTTTTTTTTTTATTGGGTTTTAATTTTTTTACCAGTCAGATGTAATCTTTTCATTTTTTTTTTTTTTTTGTTGTCAAGATGGATTAACATTTAATTATGATGTTTACACGAGCAATTTATGGTACAGACTTAGCATGTGCTATTTCCCAGTTGAAGGAGACAACCAAATTATCTATCCCTTTGGTTGTGTTTGGTCACATGCACAAAGAACTGGCTTATGGAAATGGAATTCGAAAGATGATAGTGGTTGGGGCTGACAACACTATATACCTAAATGGTGCCATTGTTCCTAGAGTTAAAAGATTGGTGGCTGATGAACAAGCTACAAACAGAAAAACCTTAATGAATAATGAAACCTCAGTTTCTACACCAAATGCAATAGGCACGGTACGAGCTTTCACTTTGGTAGAGATATCGGATGGAAAATTGAAGAAGATAGCAGAAGCTTGGGTTTCTGTTATCGGAGACAAGACAGCATTAGAAGAGGAGTGCATACTATACAGCAGAGGTCGAGGCACCGAGATTTCTGTGTAGTGGATTCCCTTTTAGCATGGCTTGTCATACACTTGAGGTGACTTAACCTTTTGTGTCCATTGCCCTTGCATGACCTATATATATTAACGAGATGCATGCTTTCGATACCCATATGTATATTTACTGTTTTGCCCCTTCATAGAAATATATTTTCTTTGTGCTATAGCATGTTACCTTGCAGCACTGATTTGTTGATCGATTTGTGTTCCCAAAATCTGAAACGCGATTGTGGTTATGATTCATAGAATTTTACGATTCACAATTCAATTCATATGATTCGATTCAAGCTTCAAACAAAATGATTTGATTCGTGTAGTTGAATCATAAATTGAGTGAATGTTACTATTCAATTGCGATTCACTATAATTGATTGTGATTCATTATGATTTACTGCGATTTAAATAATTCAGTTTTGTTTGTGTATTAAATGAAACAATGTCATTTTCACATAGTATAAAAATAAATAAATAATTTAAAAAAGGAAAAAGAAAAAAGTGGTCTGCTAATTATATTGATATATATTTCATTTTAAACATGGTGTAATTTTATATGTATATATACACATAAAATTTTACTATTCACAATTCGATTTGGGATTTGATAACAGTGATTGTGATATCTATTGTGTGTTATATTTAATTCCCAGGTCATGAGATTGACTATTCTGTTGTTGATTTTTGGGCTGTAGGATAATATTTTTGAAGATTTGATTCTAATTGCTTTACAGATATGATTTTGTTATCTTGTTAAAATTAAATTATTGTTCTCATATGTGTTTATAAAAAGGTTGGTCCACGTGAAAGTGATGATCTATTACCTAGAATTCCTAATTCCCAATATGTATGTATGTTTATATATATGTATATATGTTTTGTCAAAGAAGATTAGTAGGCAATGATCAAACAATGTGGTTTTTGTAGACTCATCCCTTCAGCCACACATCAAACATCATTCCTATTTTTTATCTTTGGGTTTCTGTAAGACCTAGCTTTTTACTAGTGCACCAAGTCGCAAGCATTCCATGGCCTTTTTTGACCCCAGTCTATTCCTTTGCACTTGAGCTTTCTTCCACGACACTTGAGCTTTCTTCCACGAAAAAAAAGAAAAGAAAAGGTGTAACTGAGATTTCAGCAACTTTAATTCTAAATTAAAGTGGGACTTAACCGTCAATTAAGATGGGTCTGAGTGATTTTGTATTATCTTAAATGAGAAGATTGTAATACAAAAATAATGAGCCGAAACTATTGAATTGTGAATGGAAATTGTTTCATAAAGTGGGCATTAATAAAGTTGGGTTTCACACTTCAATAGTTTTGTATTATCTTAAGTGAGAAGATTGCAATACAAAAATAATGAGCCGAAATTATTGAATTGTGAATGAAAATTGTCTCATAAAGTGGGCATCAATAAAGTTGGGTTTTGATAGGCCTCGTTTGGCAAGTGGTTTTTTTAGCCAAAAAATCAAAAAGTTACTAAAAAAATCAAAAAGTCAATAACCTATGTCAAAAAGTCAAAGATTTCATTTTCTCTCTACTTTTTGCACATCTTTTTCATAAAAAGTCAAAAAGTCATCTTAAACATATTATTTTTTTTACGTCATATTTTAGCCAAAAAGTTAAAAACTTACTAAAAAAACATGTTCCCAAACGAGGCCAATCTTCGTTTGAATTGGGTCAAGACTTGTACTTGTGTATGTGCTGGGTTTAGTCTTAGACTTAGACTTGGATCTAGTCTTGAGCTTTGGGTTGAGCTGTGTTGGGCTTATTTTGTGCATGTGTGTGAATTGAACTTGAATCGGATTGTGATTCAACACCCATATCCATTTTGCAATCCATCTAGCTTAATTCTCTAAACTTATACATTATATCTACATTATGATTTATATAATGGTTTTGGAGTTTTGAATCTTTGTAACTCTAGCCCTAATGGCTAGAGTTGATGACATTTGATGACCCCATTGATATTAGCTTTCATGGCTAAGGTTCTCTCCTACTAGTATAAATAGACACATTTCTCCTCCAACTTGAGGTTTTGTGATGGAAAATGAGATAGTATTTTGAGATAAAAAGTTGAAGATGGTTTTTTACATCAAAGAAATTTTTTTTCTATCTTCTGTTATTAATCTCTTCTTTGGTTCTTGTTAGAGAGAGTGCATCCTTGTTAAGTTCGCCGAAACTATTCAGAAGGTACTCTTGCCTCAGCTGGTTTCGACCGTCGTATCTTGGGAAACAAACGCCGACGTACCTCCAGCATCCATTGGGAGGCAGTGAATCTATTTTAAGGAAACTGTCGTATCACACAAGTTTCAGTTTACATCTTTATCTTTTGTTCTTCAAAATCTTAAATTTAAATAATTTATGGTATATTATTTTATATGTCCATTTGAATCTATCTTGTAATATGTTCTATAATGTAATCTAATTCATTCTCGTGTTTTTTTTAGTTCTATAGTTTATTGTATATTTCATTCTTCAATAATAATAAAATTATTATTATTATTATTATTTTGTCATTTTTATTAAATTTATTTTATATATTTTTATTGTATTTTTATGAAAAAGTGCCAACAAGATTCCCACATCTTTGGTGGGTTATCCTATGACATTCAATAAAATTAATGAAGTCCAGTGACAATCTGACAGGTGGGTGTTTACAAATTAGATTGGCTCAGTTCTATAGAATAAGTTAAAATCATAATTGAACCCTCTGAGCCTATCTAATTGGATCAAAATCAACCTACAAATATCAAAAAATTATTTCTTAATCTAGAAGTGTCACAAGACCATCGCCATGGTCAATCATAATCTACTATACCCTTTTATATTCTCTAATTATTTAATATAAAATTTTGAATTATATTTTTTTTACCAATTGAATTTAATTTAATATTATATTATTGAATTTAATATAATATAATATTATTGAATTTAA